AACTAAATAAGTTTGAAAATTGTTGGAATCACCTTCGGAACGCGCAAATTGTTTTCCATTCAACCGTTTTCGTATCTGTTACCATTATTCAGATCCCCATGATGATGTGCAACCTTATCTTGGACACCCTGTATAACTTACTGGGTAAATTTTTTGTGAATTTTTAATGAATCGTCTTGTAAATTATTCAAGGTAAATAGGTATTTTCAGTTGAAATTCCCATTTATTAACTATACCTCTTTAATATAGGACATACGGACCTATACATATTTATCTTTAATTGCAGCTAATCTATGGTATCATTACCTGAACATCCGATATTCATTTGTCAATTCATGATACAAGCATGAATTAATAATAAGTATAGATTCCAGACCATTAACTGTTATTAATTCAGGATTATTCGAAACAAATGAACAGCGCAGAACACAACTGAAAGAGATATCAGATCGAAATTATATGACCCACTGCTCTGGGCGCCACTCAGTATGGTATTTATTTCAGTGCATTTTCATCTACCGATCTACAGGGTGAAGCACTAGTCTAGAATTCCAAGATTTCTTGAAATGTGATTCAAAAACCTGCGAGTAAATATATACCTATAATTGAAAAGGAATTTTGTCAGATATATTTATGAACACAAAAAAATGGATATACAGGGTGATTCAGGTTTTAAGGCACAAACTGAAATGGGGGATAGATCTCATCCTTTTAATCAAAAAAGTTTATATAAACATTAGTCCGATCTCGTTCAGTAGCGGAGCTACAGGGGGTCAAAGTTTAATTATTATTTTCTATTAATTGAAATATCTCGCTTACTTTTCAAGATATCGTTTTGAAATTTGGTGTGGTCAATACTTCCTAGAAGATCATCATTTCAAGCATTTTAAAGATTTTCAAAATCTACAGGGTAATACGTTTTTGGAAGTAGAGGCTTCTTTATCCCCTCCAAACTTTTTCGTAGTACGCCTCTGGCATCTTTCAGTGATCAAATTGTGTAGATCGTTCAATTTAGAGGATTTTTTTGCCCGTCAATTTTTTTCGAGAAACGAACCGTTTTTGAGATAAATAAGCATACGTTCTAGAATATGTTAATTTTGCCTATGTTTCGCTTAAATATTTCATTCTTTGACAAAATTCGTTGAAAATGCAATGAAATATCACGAGTCCAATCTGGATCAGTAACGTGCGTAAGAACAATGCAATCTTAGAACATTTTGTTGCATTTTCAACGAATTTTGTCAAAGAATACAATTTAAGCGAAACATAAGCAAAATTAACATGTTTTCGAACGTATATGCTCATTTATCTCAAGAACAGTTCATTTCTCGAAAAAAACTTGAAGAGCAAAAAAAGCCTCTAAATTGAACGATCCACATAACTTGACGTATCACCCTGTAGATTTTGGAAATCTTTAGAATGCTTGAAATGATGATCTTCTAGGAAGTATTGACCACACCAAATTTCAAAATGATATCTTGAAAATTAAGCGAGATATTTCAATTAATAGAAAAAAATAATTAAACTTTGCCCCCTGTAGCTCCGTTACTGAACTAGATCGGACTAATGTTTATATAAACTTTTTTGATTAAAATGATGAGATCTATCTCCCATATCAGTTTGTGCCTCAAAACCTGAATCACCCTGTATATATGAAGAAATACATTGAGAATTCGCATTCTCCATGTGATGAAAATATTAATTCTTTCTCGGTTTATTCAACAGAAAACAACTACTTTCCTGGCTAAATGCCACGACGAACATTGAATTATATCTGTTGAATATCCAAGAAGGGAGCATGGAAAAACAAAATCCTCTGAAATTGAGAATTGACATTATCTCTCAAATCGAATAGAATGATGTGATGTATTATGGTATAAAAATATAACTCATGTCCTGTATGATGAATATCAATTTATCATACATTCAAAAATATACCTATAAGATCATGAAACCGGAAATTATTTGCGATTTGGGATATTTCAAAATTCAGTATCAGTTTCTCTAAATATATGTCCGCAAAAGTTTAGTCAATTTTCGAGGCAATTTTGGTCCTCCTTCCTCCTTCCCGTTGTTTTCCTATTTTATCCTGATTTTCCACTCATTGATACGCCGTTGATTTTTATTGCCGAATGTATCTGCCACTCTTCTTTAATCACCAGTATTATTAATCACCGCACAAATTCGATTTCCAATGTTGTTAACATCTCAATTATGAATGTCATCAATTCAAATATTAAGTACGATGAATTATTGCTAATAATTAATTTCGATTTCGACACAAAATTGACAATTCATTTTCCAATTTGAAGTTGTTTGCTCTCAAATTGAATGAGTTTATTCTGAATTTGAAAATGACTATTCCCATTTTGAATTTGTTTACCAATTTGGATTTTTTAAATTCCATTTTGGGTAAAACTGCACTTATCATGCGATGGGTGTTTTTTTCGAATTTTTTTTGTAGTCATGTATTCATGTCTGACGAACACGAATTTGATTATGAAAATGTGAACAAACCATTACTTAATCATTAAGATATTTCATTATAAAGTTACAAATTTCACATTCTTTTCCGCCTGTCTTGTGGATCACATTTAGAACAATTTGCCCTTCTTTTCTCATTATTGGACAATTTATATATCACAATGTACTTCAATTAAACCATTTTTTCTATTATACCGACTGCCACAGGAGACACGTAACAGCCTGTAGTTTTTTTATTTGAAGAAATAAAAATTTGGAATTCACAAGGGTTATATTATCGATGATGGCGCTTCCCTTGATCCCAATGACAGTTTTATTCAACCACCTGTTACCAACTTCTTTGTTTTTCGAATGGCACCCTGTATATTTCTGTAGGGTTATATCATCGATGATGGCGGTTTCTTTGAAGCCAATGACAATTTTTTTCAACCCCCTTTTTGATTGGAAGTAGTCCCAATTTTTTTTTCTGTACTCTATCTTATTTGCCTTGAAATTCTCTATTCAACTGGGTATCACAATTTGATATTCGTTTATTAATTGGCTATCAAATTGTATTTTATTGATGATGATGCTTGATTGGCTTAGAAATCCAAAGATCAATACTTAGACGATATTAGACTATTTTTCATACCTCAATGGGTCCCAGTAGATTCCCAATAGTTTCATTGAGTTTAAAAAAAATCAACCGAAAATAACTCACGATATTGAGAAAACTAAGATATAAACTCAGTTTTTTTATTTGACTATTTGTGAAGAAACTATTTGTCTTTTATTTTTGCCATGTAGCCATAATATGATCATCCATTTGGATTAGTATTGGTATTGGTAGGTTGGATGATGACATATGCGACCTGATTAGATCTATTCTGCCCCATCTGCTTCTGCTATATCAAGGATTTCTTGTTCATAGCAGCCCCTCGAGATTTAATTCCTTCAGGAATTTGAGGATTTTGAGGGGGTCTAGCGTGGTATTTCTTCCACAGTCAGCTGTTGACGCTGTTGTGTTCCCAGTATGTTCAATCTTTTGTGATGTACAGCGTCACACTCCATCAGTATGTGATGGGGTGTTTCTGGTTCTTCTTCACAGAATCTGCAGGTGCCGTCCTCCTGTAAGCCTAGCTTCCTTAGGTGTTCTTTGAGTCTGCAATGCTCCGTTAGAAATCCCGTTATTGCTTTGAGACTTCCTTTGCTGAGGTTTGTCAGTGTCTTAGATCTTTCTCGGTTGAAATTTCCAAGGAGATCTTTAGCCTGCCGTAGTCCCGGAAGTCTTCTCCATTGTCTGGCTCTCCAGGCTCCTTCCGCCTTCTCAAGTTCTCCTTGGAAATAGGAATTTCCAAGGCCGCAGAATGGCTCTGGTCCGATCAGTGGCGCTGAAGCCGCTTGTCGTGCCAGAGTGTCTGCTTGTTCATTCCCCTCCACTGCCTAGCTCCATTTGGATACATGATACTGAAATTGTTGTAATAATTGATGTATCGTCCTAATATCGTGAGTTATTTTCGGATGATTTTTTTAAACTCAATGAAATTATTGGAAATCTTCTGAGACCGATTAGGGTATGGAAAATATTCTGATAATATCGTCTAAGTGATGATCTTTGGATTTCTAAGCCTATTAAGTATCGAAATGTCATTGTATTCGGGCCACAGCCAACTTTATGTATTTCAATAAAATGCAATTTAACAGCCAATCAATAAACGAATATCAAATTGTGATACATAGTTGAATAGAGAATTCCAAGGCAAATAAGATAGAGTACAGAAAAAAAAGTTGGGACTACTTCCAATCAAAAAGGGGGTTGAAAAATATGGTCATTGGGTTCAGAGAAACCGCCATCATCGATGATATAACCCTTGTGAATTTCAAATTTTTATCTCTCCAAATAAAAAAACTACAGGCTTGTTACATGTCTCCTGTGTCACCCGGTATAAGTCAACTAGAAATATGTTTTTCTTGTGATTCATCCATTCTTAGTGAAAAGAAGAACGAATATCATTTAAAATAATGGCGTGTGTAATGTCATTCAAAAGCAATCTGTTGACATTTGACATCTCGTATTTGGATTGACTATTGATTAAATGGCCGTCATCTGGTATGATTGTTCACTAAATATGAAAAACTCACCATAAAAATCATATTTCTTGTTGAATTTTCCATATAAAAATGTGTCATTGCAGTATGTACATCATGAGTATATGAAGTGTCCAATAACAAAATATGAAGAGCAAGTAGCTGTAAATGCATCCAACATAGGGGGAAAAAGATGGCGAAGTTTTGAACTTTTTCTTGAAATATCTCGATAAATAGTGGTTTGTTCACATTTTCATTATCGAATTCGAAAAAAACATCGCATGATAAGTGCATACCCCAATTTGCAATTGAAAAGTCTCAATTTGAACTTTTGAATCGAATTTCTAGCGATCATAGAGATAGCAGAGCATTCTTACCCAGTTCTTTCCCCACCCTGTATAAACTTGTTGAACCTTCGTCACTCTCTAATAATTATATATTTTTTTTCAGGATGACTACACAGTTTGCCTCGATTCCGACATGACTAGGAGCGGAGTTATCGATTCCACAGAGCAGAAAAAGATCGATTCAGATGTGATCGATAATTGCAACATACCACAAGATACCTCACAATACACGATCTCAGAGAAAAAAGCGCCCAACTTAGCCACTTTTTACTTCAATCACGACACGAATACCAGCATGGATGAAGCAACGCAACAATTTGCCTTGGATACGGTAAATTCACGAAATAATGTCCTAGATAACAGCGCCAGTGCAGGAGTTGAAGAAACGAACGAAAATGTTGCACATTCTAGACCGAAATTGAATAAACCTGCGAGGGGACCCAGGCCGAAATCGGTTCCAGAAGAGAAAATCAAAATACTGGTGCAAAAAGTTGAGGAACTGGTGAGCGCCGACAGGAAGCAGCTCCACAAAATATCGAGGGTGTGTGGCTTTTGATTTTTTCACAATTTGCTTGAATTTTTTACTTCACCTTTTTCTACTTTCGATTCTCGACACTCTACTCTCTATTTCGTACTATTTCTTCTATACTCTATAAACTCTATTTTTTACTCTCTTCTACACTCTACTCTACGCTCTACTCTACTCTCTACTCTACTCCCGACTCTACTTCCTACTCTAGTGTCTACTCTACTCTTTGATCTACTCTTCAGTCTACGCCTCACCCTACTCTTCACTCTACTCTCTATCATATTTTCTACTCTGAATATTCTATATAATAATAATAAATCGCTCTTATTGATAGTAAGTTTAAATAATAGGTACAAGAAGTAGATTTGCAAATAACTATGATGCTTACTATAGAATGGCAGAGTTGGCCTGAGTTGGAATAAGTCATGACTTTTATAAAAAAGTCATCAAAGTCCGACTTTTTGAATCAAGTCAGACTTTTTTGAATTAATTCATTTGAAAAAAAAACAAAACAAATTTCATTTACCCAAAGCGAAATAGAAAAAAAGAAACAAAAAACTATGTTTTTATTCCCTTCAGAAATCTTGTAGAATAACATCATAATATAACATGTAATGTTTTCAGAACAAAATTAAAAGTGATGATAGAATACAAAATAATAGATACATACAGATCCAGTATCATCCATAAAATTCGTAACACATGGAGAAAAAGTTCATTAGTAGAATATCGAAACATTTTTTCTCGGGGATCTATTATGCATGTCTGACTACTTAAAAGTCGATTTTGACACATGTCACTTGATCACTGGTATGGCGGTAAATTCAAAAAATTACGATGGCAAAAAGTGGGGTTAGATGGGAAGATGAAGTTATTTAAAAAAAATAAAAATAGCTATTTTCAGTTCTCTCAAGCATCAAATTTATACTATTCAACTTGTACATCATCAACATCACGACTGTCAGAAAAAAAAGAGAATTGTAACAAAATTGAAGAATATTCGAAAAAATATAGCTATTTCCAATTCCCCTCCAAAAATTGCTCGAAACTGAATGTGGAATAGCAACTTAATAAGAAATGTTTATGGATATTTTGTTATCTAACCCCACTTTTCGTCGCTTTTTAGTATTATTTTTATTTATCACCATACCAGTGATCACGTGACATGTGTTAAAATCGATTTTCAAGTTATCGGATATGCATAATGGATCGCCGAGAGAGAAAAATTCGATGCTGTGATAATAAACCTGTTCTCATTATGTTATGGAATTTATGGATGATACTCCTTGATACTGTATATATCTGTTAGTAAAAATCTCTGTCATGCTTGAAATAACAAAGTCTTGCCAAAATACGATCGAATTTTTCAGTTTTAACTAGTTAAAATCAAAGGTAATAGTGCAATTCGTCTCATTTTTAAAAATTTGAATGAATTCATGATTTTTTCGGAAAAAGTCAATGGAATTGATTCACGAATTAAATCACTGATTTAATTCATATGAATTAATTCATGCCAACCCTGGAGTTGGCGTTTACCAATGTGTGAAATGCGTAAATACTTTCTTACACTCATCCAGATACTCTACTCCACTATATACTCTACTACACTCTACTCTTTATTATCCACTATCTACTCTTCTATCTACCCTCTATCTACTCTGTATCTACTCTCTACTATACTCTACTCAACTTTTATACCCATTATCGGCTCTCTACTATCTATCTACTCTCTGTACTCTCTACCCTTTATCTATTTTGTATCTACTCTCCACTCTCCAGTCTTCAACTCTTTACTCTCTACGATCTAATCTACTCTCAACTCTATTCCCTACTCCATAACCTACTACTCTAGTCTACTTCACGTTACTACAGTTATATTCAACATTAAATCTGATATTAGATAAAATGTACAGAAATAAATATGAAAACGTTTTTCTATGTATTTCGGCGACTCAGTTGGCATTATCAGTAGACCTCAGAAGGAAATATATTGCATGTAATCTCAATTGTTTCATAGTGTTCCTTACTGTCGAAAAATAAAATAACGGATGATACAGGGATAGTCGGAGTTAGGGGTGGGCAAAATCATCGATAATATCGATGATTATCGATAAAATTTTGGATGATTTTCAATAATTTTCGAAATATCCATTGATTGTTGATTGTAATCGCCCACTCCTATAGTCCATTCCAACTATGAAGACAGCATTGGAAGTCATAGGGAAGCGTTTCATTGGTTAATATCGGAGACAATATTACACTTGCCTAATATTATGACTTACGACGTGGCGCAACGGTTGAAGGTTTCTTTATGGGAAGATCTCCACATAATAAAATTCCAATTTTTTCTCGCGCATTAATATTTTAACATCATTTTGGATTAAGTTTGTCGGTGTGAACCATTTGTGAACATTCCTCCATAAGAAGCGCCACCTATGGTCAGGACATTTTGGGAAGGCGAAGTCTACCATAAAACATTGGTGAGACGAAATGGATAGGCGACTGAATTTAAGATCGCAGCGCCAAAGTGGCCGGTTGTGGAACTATAAGAAAGTACATTGTTTTGAAATGGTTCATTGGCTTGTGTGTATTATTTCGATCATTTCATAGTGATTTGAGCAAAGAAAACTGTCTATTTGTATACCCTTGTGATTCGAGAGAGCTTTTCAGCAGATATTCGTTCAATAAAGTATGTTTCCCTACTCAAAATACTTGAGCGTCGCAAAATCACAATGCCCCAATTTGAGGTTACGTTATGACGTTAGTTTGTATTTCATTTCAATTCAGTAGTAAAACTAATATTGTAAATTAAGTGGATCGAATATGATGTTCAGAAAGTAGGTATTCGAGATGTATGTAAATTGTTGTCGATTTATCTACTGACATGTGTTTATGAAAGAGAAAAAGTCCACAAAGCTGGATGTATATCTGCGAATAGTTGATCTGCCTAGCAGGAAAATCTTCTCACTTCTGGGAATAAAATGCAACTGAATTCAATCTAGAAGTTGAGAGAAAATCTTTCAATTATAAACTGATTGAAATTATCATTTTCTGTGAAATACAGTGAGAAAACTTTCATGAATAACATGTGAAACGTAACAATATTGATTTGAGATACTCTACGGAAGAATTGAAACACGAGAAATACCACAATGACCACTTAACTCTCGATAAAATGCATGGAAACTTGAATGTAAAGGAACATTCAATGTAAAGTTTATGTAAAGTCAGTTGAACAGATCATCAAACGAATGTCGGGCAGCGCTGCCGCACTCTTTGAACTTTCAAAGGGACCGGCGGCTTGCGGTGATGTGTCTTTCTAGCTGACTTTGCATAAACTATACTTTCCATTAATCACTTGAATATCCGCAAGAGGGCGTAACGCTTATTTTGAATCGCATATATGTTCATTTGAACTTTAACTGCTTGATGGTGATAAGAATGAGTGACACTCGGAGTGACAGTTGTCCGACCAGCCCTTATTCAATTCAATTCAATTCAATTTTATTGCCATTCTAGTTACAAAATTAACAAAATACATGTTATTTCGATTGCTGGTTTATAGCAGCATCTGGTTCAGGGTCGGAATTGGCCTAGGCAAATATGCCTGTATTGCTTTTCCAACCCTTTACATATGCTTTCGAACTTGCAATTACGTGTGTAGTAAGGGCGAGCGTATGATACAAATATTAAATAATATGAAGGTTCATTGTAGCAATGAGGAAAGAACCGACGGAACCACAGTGGCTTGGCAATCAGTTTATGCGTTTTAGATACATCATGGAGTCAATAGATTAACTATTCCTTTCTCTGGTTTTAAATCTAACCAAATTTTTCATGGTTTTCTATTATGAATTTTTTTACTAACTTTTTGAAGATCTTGTGGTTTTTTATATCTCTAAGGTCAGCTGGTATAAGATTGAAGAATTTTGGACCAAAATACATAAATGATCTTTGGGTTACAGATTTTTTGAATGAATGAACTTGAATGTTTTTGTTTAGAGTCGATCTGGTCATTCTGTTTTTTTTTCACCGTATATTTATTTTGCGTACTGTGCATTCGTTGTAATGATTGGTAAATAAATAGTGTTTTTATATTAAGCAGGTCAGTATCTTTATAGAGTAGGTGGGTAGAAAATAGTCTGTCTTTTTTTAGTATAATCTTAATCAATATATTTTGTGCTGTGTGTAATACATGTAGTGTGGTAATGAAAGCGCCTCCCCATGCAACTATGCAGTATCTGACAATTGATTCAGCAAGACTATTGTACAAGATAATCAAATTTTTTCTCGAAAGGATGTCTCGTAGAATGTAAAATTTATGAGATAATGCTCTTATTCTTCTTGTCACATGAGATATGTGTTCAGACCAGCGTATATGTTGGTCTATTATTACCCCTAAATATTTAATTGAAGATGTTTTTTCTAAGATCGGGCAGCGACATGTCTCAACATCACAGGTTGGCGAGTGTACTTTAAGAATAAATCGAGTGGGTTGATCAATTATTATTGGGGAGAAGGTTATATATTTGGTTTTTTTGATATTCAAGCTTAGTGAGTTGTGGTTCAACCATAGTAATATTTTTTTCAGACCCGACTCAGCTTTGCATTTAACATCTTCCCAATCCCTACCTGTGAAGACTAGAGCTGAGTCATCTGCATAACATATCAGATGTCTCATAAATTCACTTATATGAGAGATACTATTTATGTATACAAGGAACAGTATCGGACCTAACACTGTTCCTTGTGGTACTCCTATTTCGACCTTCGATTCTGAGCTAATTTCCTTTCCGATTTTCACTATAAGACTAATGTCTTTGAGAATACAGGTGGAGTGGCAAGATTACTGAAGTGCAGGTATGTCCGTACTCGATTCTGTCTAAATGTGAATAGCCAGAATCGGCTTTAGAATTATTAAGAGATTAAGCTTTTGTGATCTGGGTATGGTCATAGATGAAACATCTATGGTATGGTAGAATCGATAGAATCAGTTAACATGGGTAAATAGG